CTCTTCTATAGAAGAGCTTAGAACTGGCAGGAACCCACCTCTGTCACTCACTCACACACAGACACCGCCTGTAACCCTTGCTGGCAACTCCAGCCACTCATGGACGCTGCCTTCCCAGGAGTTCTACTGGCGATAGAAAATCAGGTTCCCTCCTTGGGACCAAGAAGCCTTTAAGGCAGTGTGTCAGCGTTCCAAGTATCATGTAGAATTAAATCAGAGTCCAAGGCAAAACGATCCTTAAAGTTCCAATTTAATAAAGCAGACCTCTTAGCACATCTGTGTTATGGAATCCCAATTCTGGAAATGACATCAGAATCCCACCCAGTTAAAAGTTCATGATCTTGTCCCCACACCCACAAATCCATCACATGGTCCAATCGTCCTTCTTCCATGCTGGTATCCCCACCCAGCTGGTTCCGGTCAGGTGCAGAGGTGCGGAGACAAAAGATGACCTTGGTCTTCTAGAAAAGAATGACAACAATACATTCCACAATCCTACTGAATGAAACAGCATAATGAAATAAGAGAAAGTGTGGCAGGCCAAAGATCCTAACAGGGATATAATTGCAGGCCTGACATCCTGTTTGCCAGGCGCATTATACCATCAGAAGAGGAAAATATTTGTAGCTCAGGGTTAAAACTCTGGGGTTCTTGGTGCTCTCTGAGCTTGGTGGTTTTTTTGCCAGACGTTTCGTGACCCCACTAGGGAATATCAGTGTTCAGGGAGGGTGGATTATTGAATGGAGGAGGAGAAGGAGGAGAGGGAGAAGAGGAGGGGGGGAGGAGAAGGGGAGGACTGTGGGGTTCTTGGTGCTCTCTGAGCTTGGTGGTTTTCTTGCAGACGTTTCCTGACCCAGTTATATTACATTTATATTGCATATAAATGTAATCAAATCAAATCAATCAAATCAGTTAAGTAACATCATCAGTGCTGGAAGGAAGGGGATTTGGTTTATATATTATTGGCTTCTCCTGCCCTCCCACGGCCAGGATCCTTCGGCAAAGTCAACGGGGCAGCCAGAACCACTTAACCGTGTTGCTAACAACTTCAGTGGTCCGCTTAACATCTGTGGCAGGAAAGGTCGTAAAACGGGGCAAAGCTCACTCAACAGTGGTGTAGCGATTCGAATGCAGGATGGGAATCTGACTCTGCCCACTGCCAGGAGTTCGATCCTGGCCGGCTCAAGGTTGACTCAGCCTTCCAACCGCCCGAGGTCAATAAAGTGAGGAGCCAGATGGTTGGGGGGTGAGAGGCTAAACAGTTGCTAAACCGCTTCGAGGGGGCTGTAAAAGCCTTGTGGATAAGTCTTAAGTGCTCAGGGCTATTGTTATTAACAACTGTGTGGCTTAGCAAGTGTTGGGCTCAATTGTGGTCATAAGTCGAGGACTACCTGTATTAGAAAGTGGGAGAGGCTGGATTCTGTTCCTAGCTGAGCCACGAAAGGCAGCAGGCTGACCTTGAGCCAATCCCTCACTCACTCGCTCTCTCTCCGTCCAGCTCAGCTCACAGGGGGCCGGTTGGGGGTGGGAAACAGGAAATAAATCCTATTTATTAATCAATAAATACTCTAGGTTCACTGCCTTGAACGGTTGATAAGAGGATAGAGGAAGCTTATCAAATAAATGAATTCGCCCTCCTCTCTTTTCCCTCCCCAGGGCGGCGGATGTGCCCTGATGACCCGCACCAATAAGTTTGAGCAAATCATCCGCGGCATGAACTCCGTAAGTCAGCGGCCATCTCTCCGGCCGATTCCCTCAGTGGTCAATTCACGTCCTGTCTGCTTTCCCTAAACCCTTGAAAATCAATCAATCTCCCTCCCTCTCCCTCTCTATCTCCTTTCCTCTCTCTCTCCCTCCCCCTCTCTCTTCCTCTCTATCTCCTTAGTTTTAGTTTAGTTTTAGTTTTATTATTATTTATAGGCCGCCCTTTTCCCTGAGGGGACTCAGGGCNTGAGTGACTGTCTGAAGGGCCTCCCGATCCAGGAGTATAAGACATACCAAGATTTTGAAGAGGTAAAAAGAAAAGTTTTTGCACTCTGCAGGCCTCCCAAACCCTCTGCACGCCTCATTTTTTGTGTGAAAAACGGGGCATGCAGAAAGTTTGAGAGGCCTGCAAAGTGCGGCGAGGGGAGGCGGCAAAAATGAGCAAACAATGGCCCATTTTTTGCAAAAACGGCCCTTTTTTGCCCAAAAAGGAGCATGCATACCCTTTAGGAGGCTTGTAGAGTGCTCCTGGGGGCTGGAGAGGGCAAAAAGGAGAAAACGACTCGTTTTTGCCCTCCCCAGCCCCCAGGGACACTTTACAGACCTCCTAAACCCTCTGTGCATCCATTTTTGCGAAGAGGGTGGGGTTTCGAGAGGCCCAAAATTCAGTGTATAAGACGCATCCAGATTTTCAACCTCTTTTTGTGGGGGGGGGAAGGTGCATCATACTCTGTAAAATATGGTAACCCTGCTCAAGCAGGAGGGCCTGTACCAGTGACGGCAAACCTTTTTTGCCTGGCATACCAAAAGCGGGGGGAGCACAGAAGGGTTGTGCACAGGTGTGCCACACTCATAATGCTATGTGCCCGTGTGCATGCGCACAACCAGCAACCCACCCACCCACCCCTTTTGCCATGGTCTTTTCACCTTCCCCAGGCTACAAAGGCTTTCTAGTGCCTCCCGAGTGCCTGAATGACCCTCTAAAAAAGGATGCAAATGACCAGCTGTCTGCAAGGAGTATCAATCCTTCCCTTCCCCCAATGAATGTCAGAGCTGAAGAAGCTTCTTGGAGGGGAAGCGAAACGTCCTCCAAAGAAAAACAATAAAAGTCCAGTTGCCTCCTGAAAAAAGCACCTTTGGGACTATCAAATTAAAAAAGTTCTTAAATAGAAAAAAAAAAAACCCCGTTAGTTTCCGCCAGTTTTTCCCCATGGCACGACAAAACCGCGCCCGTCAAAATAGCGGTGATAAAATCGCGTCGCTAAAGCCGCGACGTCATCACCGCCGCGGCAACAGCGCGGCAACAGAAGGGCGCTT